GGCGGGAGGGCCGGCCTGGGGGGGCCCCCGTTTCCTCGCGTCCGCCGACTGGCGAGGAAGGACATTCCCCGCGCCGCCTCCCACCCCTCAGTCGGAGGGAGGCAGGCAGCTAGCTGCCCCCCGCCCCCATCTCAGTATCCGAACGGAAGCGCCGGCCTGGGGTGGCCGGAGGGCTGTGGCGGAGGCCGGCAGGGGTTAGGAGGCAGGGGCGAGTGGGGTTTTGTGTCATCTCAGTGCCACCCCCGCGTCTTGCACCTGCTGCTCGCATGGTCTGCTGGCCTGCTGGGGTGGCGGAGGGCAAGGGGCAGAGAGCTGGGCAGATGGGCCGGGGGGAGGGGGAGCTTGGATACTGTTTCCTCGGGAGCCGATGAGGGGGTGGCTACTCCTAGAACTCCCTGCCCCTGGCTCCCAAGGCTGGGGCTCCTTTCAGGGCCTGGTGTACAGAGCCAGAATGAGCCTGGGCATCTTTCTCTGAGGCATCCCCAGGCCACCTAGTGACTGGGAGCAGGTAGACTCGGCTTTTCCTGGGCCCCAGTAAGGCCCTCTTGGGAAGGTGAGCTTGGCATTGCCCCAGCTTGGGCACAAACCCTTCTTGGTCCCCTATCCCAATCTGGCCAGAACTGGGTAGGGAGCAGTGTTGAGGGGTGTCTAGATTCCCCGGGATCCCGCTGGCTTCCTGGCCTACCTCTTGGCTGTATATACTGTAGTGTTTCCCTTCTTCCCAGCACAGTCAGCTCCAGGCTGATGTGAAACCCCCTGACCTGCTGAGGAAATGAGGAGCAGTGACCCAAGAGGCTGCTCCCTTCTGATGTGGGAGGACACTGCCAGAGATGGGGCTCAGCAGCTGGCAGGGGGGAAGGAAGCCCTGGCCCTTGTCCATCCCTTCTTTAGAAAATGAACTATGTCACTGGGCAGGCTCAGGGGGTCTGTGAACGCTAGGGAGACTATGGGCTGACTAAGTGTGAGAGTGTGGGGTGCTGTTTTGTGGACCCATAACTTCTAGCCATTCTTTGGACAGGCCCAGGACCCCAACAGGTTGAGACTCACAGATGCTCTGGTGGCTCTGATGGCTCCAAGCCGGAGTGTTTGGGAACTGTGAATGCCTGGCAAAGGCATGGTACTCTGTGGGTGGTTATGACCCTGAGGCTGCCCCTCAGGGCATGCCGCAATCCAGAGGGCTCTGAGAAGCTGTTTGGGGATATGTGCCCTTACCCCTAATTAGCTGGAAACTATGATTCTCTTGCCCGAGCCCCAGGCAGGTCTAGGGATGGAAGGCTAAGAGGAGAGCTTGCCTTCTATATGCCTATCCTAGGCTGTTCTGCAGATCTGCTGGGTGGATGCAGCATGCATAGCACCCACCCTTTAGGGGAGCCTGGATTTTAGCTTTGCCTTTGTTCCCAGCTTACTGTGTGACCCATGGCAAGACTTTCCTCACTCTGGGCCCCAGTTTCCTCAACTGTGAGGCAAAGAAGTTGGCATAGAAATGATTTTTGAGGAGCATCCCATCTCCAAGTCTGTGGTCCTCATTCTGGTTTGAGGGACATAGAACAGCATCAGCAAGGCAGTTGTCCTTTCTCCTGTTTGGCTGAAGCCTCTGGATGCCCAATGGGCTCGGAGAAGAGTGGTGTGTATCCTATGTGTTGCACTGCCCAGCTCCTATCCCAGGTCTGTTTTCCACAGAGGCATTTGTGCCCTGGGTACCTCCTTTTCCCTTGATCAGAATACAGGTCAGAAAGAGGCAAATGGTGAGAAAGTGAGGGTGGTGAGGTAGGCAGGGCGATGACAAAGTCTTACTCATGACCCCACCCCAGCACCTAGCATGGTGTCTGGCACATAGTAGGCACTCCCCCAAGTGTTTGGATGCTTGTCAGGACCCCTGCTGGCTACTTGGGTCTACCCCATACACACTGGATGATGCATGGAGTGGCATTCTCAGTCTGGGAACTATAGCAGCCCAGGTAAAAAGCATAAGGCCACCTATCTGCAGCCCACACCCAGAGCCACCACCTTCTGCTTAGGAACTGATAGGTATGTGCCTCCTACCCAGAGCCATAGGTTTCTCTCACTGTGATAGGAACCCTGCAGTCTCAGCCCTAGGAATGGGGTCGTGGCTTTTTTGTAGTTGGTTAATTTGGGGGGTTATGAAGGTAAAAGGTGAGATGCAGCCTGATCCCAAAGGCCCCTGTCTTCCCTCTGCTCCCAGGCCTGGGCATGCAGGGGACAAGTGCAAGTATGTTATGAGGCAACTGGACATGGCATGGCTGCTATGGCTGCTGGTTAGGCACCATCTGTGTCCCTGCCTGCCTTGGGAGTCCAAGAGAGGGGCAGGGGGCAGGGACCCTGGAGAATGTAGTTCCCCTCTTTCTTCCCCTTCACTCACCCTGTCACATAGTCGTGGCCTAGCTCTCCAGGGCCTGCTCCTCACCCCATGGGCCTCCATCACAGCCCCTGGCACAGGAGTGGAGACCTACTGGCACCTTGGATGAGCAAGGCTTGCCACTGGCTAGGGACATTGGGAACCTGCAGGCTCATTTGTCTCTCCATAATGTAGATTATCGTGGGGTGGGGTGAGTGGTGGGCTTTCTTCCTCTTTTATTGAGATATAACTTATGTACGGCCAAGTGCCCACACTTTACTGTTTAGCCTGATGAGTTTTTACATGTGTACATAGCTGTAACCTCCACTCCAATTGAGAGATAAACCGTTTCCGTCACCCTGCAGGGTTTCTTGTGCCTCCTCCCAGTCAGTGTCCCCCAAAGGTAACTGCTGTTCTGACCTCTATCCCTATGGATTACTCTTACCTGCTTTCAAAATGGTTGGCTTCTCCCTCTTCCCTCGTGAGGGTCTGCTCCCTAGCTCAGGAGAGGCTGGCCTTTATAGCAGACCTTCTGGCCCCAGAGGCCACTAATGGCTTTAAGTGGTGACATGAATTTACCTTAGTAGATGCCTCCATCGGGTCAGCGCTGGTTAATATTACTCCAGGACCCCTCCTGCCACTTGCCCACACATATCAGACCCCCACCCTCACTGAAGGCAGGAGCCCAGGAGGAGGATTGGCAGGATACTAAGGAGGTCACCACATCCCCTAGCCTCTGCCCCAAGTTCGGTCCAGGGAGCCTCTTTGAGACAAGGGTCCCTTTAACCTTAAACTTCAATAGCCATTTGACTTTCAGAAAGTCTTCCTGGCTTAGGAACTGGCCTAGGTGAGGCTTAGGGCTCCTGCTTAGGTATTCCCAAGGCCCCCTGGTCATAAAGAACAGGTAGTAGGGTGAAGGTGGGCTTTTCGTCTATGTCAATCAGAACTGAGCTGGCACCAGTGTGCCCCAGACAGGACAGTGTCCCCTGCCCAACCTTCCTATTTCAGTTCACTTGGACCTGTGGAGGAGAGGGAGGACCCCTCTCCCAGCCCAGGAGAGTGCCAAGCAAAGTCTTGGACCGCATTCCCCAGATCCTAGTCTCTTGGTCACCCATAGTCATGGACTTGCCATGTCTGCTCTGGCCCTGGATATCTGGCCAGCCCTCCTAGGCCTGGCTTCTCTGGTAGGGCCATGGGCCTGGGGTGGGGGTGGGAGGTGGAGGCCTAGGCCTCAGGGCGGCCCATTTATGATCCTGGCCTGGGCGGATCCCCACTTACAGGAAACCCCACCATTTCAACAAGAGGAATTTAAGCTGCGTCATTTCCAGCTTCCTGCCTGGGCTGCTGGTGGTGATTGGAGGGCAGACCCCTGACCCAGTGGTGTTTGGGAGTGGGGGGAAGGAGCTTTTCATACCTGGAGTGCCTCACTGCCTGGGTAAAGCCAACGTTAAAGCGTGCCTTAGGGCTCCCCGTCTTGACACAGATGGTGGATTCCTTCCTCTTGGGCCTCTGGAATTAGCCCCTCAAGAAGGTGTATGGTGAGCATCTTGTGTATTCCTGTTGCCTTGTTTTAGGGGGAATCCCTAAAGGACCCCTTACGCAAAAAACTGAGTCCCCTCTTTCACTTTCTGTTCCCATGCTATGAGGGGCTATTTGCTGTGGGCAGAGCTCATGCTGCACCCTGACTCAGAGTCTCCTCACAGTTCTCCTGGGAACTTTGATAGAAGTCCTTTTGGGGAAGGGTCTGAGAATGACTTTCTGGTTGAAGAGACTCTCATTACCCCTGAGCACTATGGGCAAGGCAGAGCGCCAGGCTCCCGTCCCCAGGACAGGGCTTCCTGAGACGGGGCGGGGGCCTGGGCAGAGCACAGTGTCCTGGGAGACAGGCTCCCTGCCCCCACTCTCCAGTGGCATACAATAGCTGCTTTCTCCCCCGTGACCTTTCCACAGCCTGAGCTGTATGCAGCTGTCTCCTCCCCCTCTCCCAAGGGGCCTGGGATGGGTGGCATCTCCTCTGCCCTTGAGAAGGACCCCAGGAGTTCCTGCCCTGTCCTAGCCCCCTTCTTGTTTCCAAAGTTCACTTCTCTAGGAGTGGAGAGTGGCTCCCAGAATCCTTGCCCACTGGGGGCTGTCCCCTTCAGGGCAGAGGCACAGGGACAGCAGCAGTTCTGGACATGGTATGGTCCCTGGCATCTAAATGCCTGAGTCCATATCCTAGCAATCCCATTCATTAGCAAGTGACCTTGAGCAAGTGCTCTAACCTCTCTTGAGCCACTATTTCCTTACTGGTAAAGCAGGGGTAGCATTTCCTACCTTGCCTGACTATTGTGAGAGGCATCATGCATACAGCAGCCAGTGGTACATAGAGGGTGCTCAGTCAGTGTTAGTTCCTTCGCTCTTTCCATCCCCCTGAAGAGGGACTCCATCAGTCATGGCTACAGGAGGCTCCTCAGGCATGAAAAGGCCTCTTGCCTGGCAGGATAAGGGCAGTCAGGAGCCCGTGGGGGTGTGATGGGTCCAGCAGGTGGGCCAGTGGCTCCAGCAGAAGTCTAGGTGCAGGACAGATGTGGCCCTGACCTAGACCCAGGAGGAGTACCTAGAGATGAGTGGTGTGTAAGCATTGGGGTTGCATCCCTGAGGGGATTCCTGCCTCCCTGGGGAAGGGCTTGGGTAGCAGCCTTGTTCCCTGGGGAAAGGCTGTGGGACTGGTAGTGGTGACTACAGGACAGGAAACCATGCCCGCTAAGTAGGCCCTGGGGATCACACCTTCCCAGAGGGCCAAAGATGTGCAGGAAAGGGCTCGGCTGTGTCAGTCACCAGCTGCGAGCCCATGGGGAAATCCCGCTCCCGGCCTTAGCTGAGCTTCCTCATCAGGAACCTGTGCCCACTGATGTCCCAGCTCCTAGACCTCTGAGGGACCAAGTGAATGAATATGTGTGGAATGCTAAGCACGGTGCTGGCCCAGAGCAGGTGCTTAGGGGGTCTTGCCTGCGTTTGGCTATGGCTGACACTTGCCTCCACCCTGGCAGACCCTGGCTGGGCCTCCATCAGCAGGGGTGTGCTGGTGTGTGACGAGTGCTGCAGTGTGCACCGGAGCCTGGGACGCCACATCTCCATCGTCAAGCATCTTCGCCACAGCGCCTGGCCTCCCACACTACTACAGGTATGGATGCTGGCTGGTCGTTCCTCCTTCTCCACGAAGTGTGCTGAGCGCAGGCACATTTCCCTCATACTGACATACACACCTGCCTGGGTACAGCAGCTCCCAGGGGGCAGCACCCACCTGGGGCAGAGCCTAACCTTGACCCTTTCCACCCATCCACTCGTCTAAGAGAGGAGGCATCCAGGACTGGAGTCAGACAGACCTGGACTCTCATCTTGGCTCTGCTGCTTACTAGGTTGGCCATGTAGCACTGAGCAGGTTGCTTAACCTCTCTAAGCCTTGGCATGCTGGCCATGTGACCTGAAGTTCTAAACAGGACCCACATCCTTGGGTGGCCTGACTGGATGGTGGTGCAGCAGTGACAGGCACACAGTAGGCCCTTTGGTACTTTTTGCAGCCACACTGGCTGTGGCCGGTGCCCAGCACTCAGTGGGCTCTCACTTGGCATCTCCTCCCCGCAGATGGTGCACACGCTCGCCAGCAATGGGGCCAACTCCATCTGGGAGCATTCCCTGCTGGACCCTGCGCAAGTGCAGAGCGGCCGGCGTAAAGCCAACCCCCAGGATAAAGTCCAGTGAGTTGGGCTGGAGGGGTGGTGGCAGGGGCTGCATGGTCTGTGACGTGGGCCTGGGAGGTGGCCTGGTAACTAGCCTCTCTCTCTGCTCCCCATTTCCTTCTGTGTGCCCCATGCAGCCCCATCAAGTCAGAGTTCATCAGGGCCAAGTACCAGATGCTGGCATTTGTGCACAAGCTTCCCTGCCGGGATGACGACGGAGTCACCGCCAAAGACCTCAGCAAGGTTTGAGGGGCCCCACAGTGGACGGGAGGGCCTCTCTCCTTCTCACCCATAATGTCCCGAAGGCCTGTCCTTCGTCACCACTCAGCCCTAGGCAGCCAGGTCAGGCAAGAAGAGTGGGCATGGTGGAGTGACAAACCTGCTTGGTTAGGCTGCATGTGCTCAAAGCCCCTCGACTCCCAGGTGGACATGCAAGGCTAAAATTCCCCAGCTGCCACCCAAAAGCCAGGAAAACTTGGGGCAATTTCTTAGCCTCTCAGAGCCTCAGTTTCCTCATCTATAAAATGGGAAAGAAATAGCATCACCTTACAGATAATGTCTGTTCCAAGCAGAGCGCACAGCACATGGTAGATAGTGACTGACAACTGGTATTATTAATTGGTATTAACTCCTCTCTCCTCACTGACAACCAAGCTTCAGTTGGGCCCTTGGAGCTGTAGAAGTCCTAGGTGCTGCCAATATTAGGTGCAGTTTCTGGGGGCAGGGGGTGGCCTCATGCACACACATTTGTTGCACACTCCTCCTGGCAGCAACTGCATTCAAGCGTGCGGACAGGCAACTTGGAGACATGTCTACGCCTGCTGTCCCTGGGTGCCCAGGCCAACTTCTTCCACCCAGAGAAGGGCACCACGCCTCTTCATGTGGCTGCCAAGGCGGGGCAGACACTGCAGGCGGAGCTTCTTGTAGTGTATGGGGCTGACCCTGGCTCCCCTGACGTTAATGGCCGAACACCTATTGACTATGCCAGGTGAGGGTTGGCTGAAGGGTGAGGCTTGGGTGGCAGGGTGGGGGTGGGAGAGTGGGCTGCTGCTGCAGGCTGAGCCATGCCCCCTCCCCACAGGCAGGCGGGGCACCATGAGCTGGCGGAAAGGCTAGTTGAGTGCCAGTATGAGCTCACTGACCGGTTGGCCTTCTATCTCTGTGGACGAAAGCCTGGTGAGCAGAGTGCGGGGCAGGCCTGGCTGGGCCAGGCAGGTGGGACCTAGACACACCTCAGCAGCAGGTGCCATGGTGACAAAGCCGGCTGGGGAACAGTGTTGCTAGGCAACTGGCTCCTGTGAAATTGCTGCAGGCTCTGGGCTGCAGCACATTGGGGTAGGGAGTGGGGGTGGGCATAACTTCTAGCCACCTCCCGGGGCTATTGTGGGTGGCCTGCCCTCCTCCCTTTCCCCTGACACTTCTGGGTGCCAAGCCCTGCTCATGGCAGTGAGGTGGGCTTCTAGCTGCTAAGGCCACTCAGCACCAGTGACTTGGCATTTTTATTTTTGTTCAGATCACAAGAATGGGCATTACATCATCCCACAGATGGCTGATAGGTGAGTGCCCACCTGAAGTCCCTTCCCAGAGGCTGCTAGAGGCCATGTTGGTGCCTGATCCCCAGAGCCCCCACCCCTGCAACGCCCCAGGCTTTGGGGACCTGGGACCCCTCCACATTCTCCACCCCACTCCCCTAGGGGTTGGAAGCACAAACATTTCACAGTCTAGTCCTTACTCCCTAATACTGGGCCCCAAAGCACGTAAGAAGTGTCAACTTAGCACGTGGCCAGCATAGCCTGAGCCCCCTTCTGTCAGGAACATAGTGCTTGAGTACAAGGAGCATCCCCCAAGTGGTGGATCACTGGGCTCTATTCCCAGTGG